AAAATGATGATTGGGATTGGTTGCAGTAACATTTATTACATAAACGATCACTTGGACAAGAGAACATGGACTTATATATTCGGCGCGTGTTGTGCAACCACTGTGTTCATACCGTCGTTTCATAACTACCGAATCTGGTCATTCCTCGGCTTGGGTATGACCACTTACACCGCCTGGTACTTAGCCATCGCCTCCATTATCCATGGCCAGGTATAAATTATTATTTTTATTATTAAGATTTTACACAATAAAAATCATCAATTATAAAGATGAGACTACATTGTCGTTTACATATTTTTATGCTTTGCTATGAAGTGACAGTATATGCTTCATTAAAAAGAAAAAAAAATCTTCATTAAAAGGAAGAAAATATTCGCATTTCTCTTTATGGTTAGGGGAAAAAGAATTGAATTATTCTCTGCATCTAAACCCAAATTTGTATATAATTTTTTTTCTAAAACTAGGCAATTCTAGCATTTCCTAATATTCTCTCAGTCTAATCACTGTTTAAGATTTGTTTTTGATTGTTAATTTTGATTTTTTTAGACCGAAGGTGTGAAGCACACAGGTCCAACGAAGCTAGTGCTTTATTTTACCGGAGCTACCAATATCCTGTATACCTTTGGTGGTCACGCTGTTACTGTGTAAGTTGATTTCTTTTCAATTCTTAATGATTACTAACTAATTAATCCATCTAAATTTTAGTATATTAGTAGATATTATAAAATCATTAAATTCTGTCAGAGATATAGTTGAATAGCTATTTATGTTAAAGCTCAAATAGCAGGAAAAGTATATGATAAAAATAGTGCGATAATATTAAATTCTGAGTGCTGTATCGTTTCTTCGCCGCTTCTATTGCAGCTTTTGCCGGCAAATAAGGTGTAACTATTATTACAGTCATCACGATTATCATTATTATTTTTCTATCCTTAAAGTAGTAATAATATGTTACAAAAATATCTACCTTTTAATAAATAAGATTCTATGGAACTATAATAATTAATATTCCTACCCTACACTATTGAATACCACTTAAGCACTTCTACTAGTAATAGTACACCTCTCTGAATGTCAAATACACCCTTAAAAACAAAAAGTCTTGATAATTTATGATTAATGATGAATATTAACCGTAAATTTAATTATGCAGTGAGATCATGCATGCAATGTGGAAACCACAAAAGTTCAAGTACATTTACTTGATGGCGACGTTATACGTTTTCACACTAACGATTCCGTCAGCTTCCGCCGTTTACTGGGCCTTCGGAGATGCACTTCTCGACCATTCCAACGCGTTCTCTCTTCTCCCCAAGAACGCATGGCGTGACGCTGCCGTTATCCTCATGCTCATTCACCAGGTAAAGTATATAATAATAAAACTTTATGTAAATAAGCATTTTTTTCTTTCAATTTAGTAAAAAATTTAGATCATTATGAGGTTAACTTAGCTAATGTTATGTGTTCATGCAGTTTATAACGTTCGGATTCGCTTGTACCCCGCTTTACTTTGTGTGGGAGAAAGTGATAGGGATGCATGACACAAAGAGCATTTGCTTGAGGGCTTTAGCTAGATTGCCTGTGGTTATACCGATATGGTTCTTAGCTATTATCTTCCCATTCTTCGGTCCAATCAACTCAGCCGTTGGTGCTCTTCTGGTTAGCTTCACGGTCTATATCATTCCCTCTCTGGCTCACATGCTCACTTACCGATCTGCCTCCGCTCGTCAGGTAAATGCTTTATCTACTATACTCGTAATTATTAAAATAAAATAAATGATCGGTGGAGGAATATTAAATAGTTGATCAACTATGTAGTTGTGGTAGGGTTGTGAATAGATTATTGTCATTGGAGGGCAGGAAGGTCTTTGTATGATGATAGATGGGGTTATATGTTCCGTATCTTACGGAAGATATGATCATCATTCATCACCCACATTCCTTGCTGGCGTCCTTCAAGCTCATTTTTAATTATACTTTTTATAGAAAGTTAAAATCCAAACTCGTATTTTTCTGGTTAGGTTAGAATTAGTAATTGACCATGAATTGTTGTTTGTTTTTTTCCTCCTTTTATCAAACTCGTGTATATTATACTATTAACAGTAGGGAAATAAAAGTTAGAAAAGGGATAATTTGTGAGGAAAATAAGGAGAGGAGAATAGGTAAGAGTCATAATCAGATATGAAAAGGAAGCTGTACAATAGTGACTCTCTGCCTAACATTAATCTAAAGTGAGAGTCTGAGTATGACAAATCACAATCATATCTCTCTCTTTCTCTCTTTGTCATGGGTCAACAAAGCTTTGGATCTTGTCCATTACTATACGACAATACCCACAAACTCATACACTTAATCATCATCATATCCCTCTCTCTCTCTTCAATGGTTCTTGATTTTCTAATATTTGTTTTTGGACTTTTCTTGTAGAATGCGGCGGAGAAGCCACCGTTCTTCTTGCCAAGCTGGACGGCGATGTACGTGTTGAACGCTTTCGTGGTGATTTGGGTTCTAATAGTTGGATTCGGGTTCGGTGGATGGGCTAGTGTTACCAACTTTGTTCGTCAAGTTGATACTTTTGGTCTCTTTGCTAAGTGTTACCAATGTAAATCACCGGTTCCAGCTGCAGCCACTGCGCACGCTCCAGTCTCCGCTTTACACCACCACCTTTGAGAGATCTAGCCTGCAGGGTGTAAAATGCTTTTGTGGAGGTTTTATTAAGAATTATTTGTTCTTCTTTTGTGTTTTTTGTGTACGTATACCTGAGAGGGAGTAAAAAGTCACGAAAATAGTGTACTTTCTTACACATCCTCTTTGCATGCGTGTTAAGCTTTTAATTTTTTTTTTCTTTGGGGTTTTGTATGTTTTCTCTCCTTAGGTTGATATAATATTAGCGTGTGATTTCTTAATTTGGTATTGTGAAAACAATAGGCTATAAAGGAAATGAATGTATCCTCTTTTCTTCTTTTAACTTCGCTTTGTTACTGTTTTAGTATCACATACCAATCCTTATGATGCATTTTGTTGTTACCTATTGTCAAAACTGAATAGTGCTTTGTTCCAACTCTAAATTGTTTTAAACTAACGGATTTGTTTAACAAAAGAGATATTCTCTAACACTTCTGATGCGACTTAAGAAATAGACTAAATGTCATGTACTTACAAGCTCTCAACTATTGAATTTGACCATTTGTATATATACTTCAGATAGAGAGTTTAACTATTCCTATATCAAAACTACAATCAAGTGATAATGTGACATTTGTTTATCTAAAACGATTTAGAAAAAAGAAGGAATTTTAGTTATTGAAACTCTTACTTAATTGGGAAATAAAATGGGAACATGAACAAGTTGGACCGAGGGAGGCGGTCATTGTACATGGGGCACATGGGTGTGGGGGAGGGAACGCACGTGGCTTCATGGTCTGAGTCACGTGCCATTATTTACTTCTCACTCTTTCTCTCTGATCAGAGACACTTTGAAAGAATTGGATCAGAGGACCATTCTTGTCGCTCTTATTAAATATGGCATGTGTTCATAACACTACTCAATCGTTACCCTTATCATATGCTCTGGTTTCACATGTACTTTGGACAAAAAAACTAACTATATGTACATATATGTGAATTATTAACTAATATTCTCGTTTGAATCCAGTGATGATTCCTGTACTTTCAATCTGACTTCTTATTGTTTTTTGTATAAAAAAAAAGAGCTCTGGGAAAAATGTCTCTTTTAATACCAAATAATCGTTTGTTGAGAAGAAAAAAAGATGTGAATGTAGGACAATGACAATGACAATGTGAATGTGTGATCTTCGTTTGCTGCGAAGTGGAGCGGGACCCTCATGAATGGTGAAGTTAGTAACGCTGGTTAGGGAGTGGGTCGTCAAAATAGTTATAACTCTGTGGCCAGAGAGAGGTGAATCGTCTTTAATTTGTTCTGGTCCTGGGCCACGTGACTATTTACTAGTGGAAGATGGACTATTTTGTACACATGAAATCCTGCTAACATGGACTTCTTTTCAAAGATGGTCCTTGTCGACTGTATATGTAGCTTAATAATGTGTGCAAGTGTTATTGTTGTGGGCCTGTGGCTTCAATCTGAACTCCAAGTGCGTTTGATTAGAATGTTGAAAAATTGCTAGGTGGTATTGAGGCTTTATATAAAGATTGTTTATTAAAAGCTCGATCTAGAAAAACCGTTTTCGCTTATGAGCAATTTTCTGCATATGCAGATGCCTCGACTGATTTTTAGAACGTCGATGGCTTTTTTACAACATCAAATGCAATAAAATTTCTCAATACAATGGTTCAATGATAAAATTTCATCTCACTTCAAAAATATTTTAGTTAAAATTATAGTTACTACAATAAATATAATATATATACGTATACTATTTTAATTTTGCTATCCAAATATGACCACCAGTTTTAAGTATTGCATATATTTTTTTTTGTCAACTTTAAGTATTGCATATTGTTAGAAGAATAAACAAGTTTTTTTTTTTGTTGTTGTTGTCCTGAACAAAACTTTGGTAATACCTTAATATGAAACATAACATAGTCTAGGTTATGTTCACTATCCAGAATACAGAGAAACAATACAACATCTTCTTTTCCAATGCCTCAAGGTTGAATCAAACTGTGAAAAGGAAGTGACAGGGTCGGTCATCATGTCATTTCAGGTACGAGGCCTTGGGAAAATCTCCTGCTCTGGCTGGGTTTGTTCCTCAGAAACCATTTGAGGAACACGAGGCCTTGGGAACAAAAGCTTTAGCCGAAAAGCATCCATCCCATTCAAGTAATAGTGGTGTAGCCGTTTGGCTCTTATGAACCCGAGTCTTCCATATAGAGCCAACGCTCCTTTGTTTGACACTTCTGCCTCCAACGTTACCTTAAATCCATACACAGTATAATGCTTAATCACACAAACATGTCCTCATCTTGTAATCAAAAGGAGCTTACAGAGCAAATGCCACTCAAAAGGAGCTTATCTAAAATTCTACTACCAGGTAAGGTTCTCACTCTAGCACTACAAAAGATATCTCAAGTTCTAAAGAGAGGAATATAACTTGGAAAGAGCAAGCATATATACCTCTTCACAGCCTGATTCCATCATCACTTTAATTGATCTTGTTACAAGCTCTGTAGCTGTAAAAACACAATAAAAAGAAAGTTAACACAACAACATCTTAACTTAAACCACACCTTTGCAGTGAATCAATCACAATCAGAGAATCTGAGGAATGTTCAAATCAGTAGCTCGAGACAAATATTACCTAAACCTCTTCCACGATACGGTTTGATGACAACCAACATGGCAATGTACCCTCTGTAAGTCTGCCTATGCTCTCCCATCTTACACACTACAGTTCCTATGCATTTACCTTTGTGAAACGCCTTAAACAGCAAAAAAAGAACCAACTCATCACTCAATCCCATTAAAACAAGAACTAAAGAGTATTTTAAATACCAAGAAGCAGAGCTGAGGCCAGAGGTAGACGAAGTAGCGGTAAGTGAAGATAGAGTAAGGCTCACTGAGTTCTTGATCCACTAGAGACATAATCAACGGCAAGTGATGCTCGCCTGCGTAGCTCGTGTACTCAATCTCACCCTCATCAAACTCCTCTTTATCTCCCATCCTAAAATTATTAAAAAAAATGTAAGCTAACAAAGAGAAAGATTCAAGATTCTAATCAAATGGTTAGTATATAAAGTAGGGTTCTTCTAGGTATTCAGATTGATTTGTTTGTTTAAAAATTGGAAAATTTGGTTCTTTTTACATGATAAAATTCAATTTTTCTCTATTAAAAAATTGAAGCAGAGTCTATAGTGCAAATGGTAAATCAAAAATCAAATCTTTTTGGCTAAAGCTAGATTCTTTTTTTTTTAGGAGACAGAACAGAGTGTACCGAGAATAGTTCAGCAGCTGCAATACAGATCAGATAATCCACGAGGTGAGTTAACTACAAAGAGATTGGGTTATCAAAATTAGCATTTGTTTCAGAATCCAAAATCAATCGGTAGTGATGATTCTTACCAAAGTGATTCGAACATCAAAAAGGGCTTCCGATTGGGTGACGTCTCAAGAAAGAAGCAGTAAGGAGGAAGAAGGAAGGACGATTAACACGTGACAAACGCATGTAGGGTTTTAGAATGGACTTGGGCTTCAAAAAGGCCCATTAAAAATCAAAGCCCATATATGCAAAAAAAAACAAGATGGTTTTAAAAACAGAGCATCAGATAACGAAAAAAGCCTCATCATTACAACCTTATCTTCAGACACTCTCGAGAAGAACATTCACGGCGATGGCGTCGCTTCTACTCGGAGCTCCTCCGCGAGTCACCGTCGCATCATCTCCTCGGTTACTATCGTCATCTCACTCAGAAACCGTTGGTGTATCTCTCTCTTGCTTCACTCAGAAACTGTCTCTCTCAGCTTCGTCATCATCCAACTCAATTCCACTTGGTAAAAATTACCTCAAAACAAAGCTCACTCCTTTCTTCTCTCTTTACTTCTTTAAAGCCGTAAAGTTTTCGAATTTCTCAGTTTACTGTGGACGTGGAGACCGCAAAACAGCGAAAGGAAAGCGCTTTAACCACTCTTTCGGTAATGTAAGTAATCTATCAATCTCCTCTGTTTTCATTACATTGTTGGGTTTTGAATGTTTTTGGGGTTATGTGAGCAGGCGAGGCCACGGAACAAGAATAAAGGAAGAGGACCACAGAGAGTTCCTGTCCCTCCTGCACCACCGAGGAAGGATAAGTTTGAGAACGACGAGAAGATCAAAATCGACATTGATGAGTCTCTCTTCTCCAATTAGAGTCTTTTCTTCACTTCCTTGTCTTTGTAATTCCATTTGAATAGACAATGCTGCGACTCTTTGTTTGTTGTTTAAACATCTCCTCTTTCTATTAAAAATCTGCTTCTCTTGTTTTCATTGATAATGTTTCGGTAATATGAGTGATTGAGTCTTAACTTTGTTTTTATAAAGAAAAATCTAAAGAAAGTGTTAGACATTGAAAGACTTTAAAAACAATCAGACAAATGAGAATCTCTACTTTATTACATAAGAATGAATATTTGTCTCTCTGCTAGAATCTTTTTTAAGTGTGGGAATATGTAATGTTTCCACAGACTGTGCAATGTGTGTTGATGAGTTTATGCATGACGCTTCCTTCTTCAGTCTTCATCTTCCTTGTGACTTTATTCCATAGATGTATCATGTAACTCCCTTTCTTCATGTCTTGTACCGTCTTCTCTACCCATTCTGCTTCTCTTGTCGTTGTGGGTTTCTTGAACAGCTTTGGGATCTTAAGCCAGTTGACTGGATAGAAAGCGTCTGGTGGAAAGATTGTTAGGTTGTACTCAGGTTTGTGTCCTAACCTGGTGATAACTCTAGAGACAAGGTAAGGACTGTTGTGTCCCCATTTGTTTCCGTCGAAAGTTGTGGAGTATTCTTGCAAAAACTCTCGCATAAGTGGATGGTAGATGTCAAAGACCATCACTGCGTTGTTTAGTCTTGTCCATCTCTTGGTTTTTGGATCCAAACTTTGTGCACCTATTGCGTTTCTTATTCCAGTTATGGAGTTGAGGAAGATGATGTCTGTGTCTAGATAGATTCCTCCGTACTTGTAGAGCACGGCGAGTCTTGTTAGGTCGGAGAGGTTCATGAACAAAGGGATGGAACCAGGATCCATCTTACCACTCTTTAGCTTCTTGAGCCAAGCTTCTGCTGGAGTGTTCTTGACTAGGAACGGGATGTCTGGTGTCACAGCTACGAGGTTGAAGCCTTGATCAAGCAAGGGTTTAAGGATGGTGTATCCTTTAGGTGAGTCTAAGGAGTTGGATAAAATCACTAAGCAAGCACCAGGGTTAGTGGTGAAGAGGGTATCAACAGCTAACATCTCTCTTGGTCCAAAGGACTTTGCAGGAGATAGCCAAATCATAAAGAACTGAGCTGAGCAATTGTTGTTGTACAACTCCAACACTCTTCCGTGGAATCTTTTGCTCTTGGTTGTTGACTTCAGTATCTCCAGCTCAGGTAGCTTTCTTCTGAACCAGCTAATTCTCTCGCTTTTGCTAGCTTTAGGAGGAGGTAGCAACGGGTCTAACTCCTCTTTTTCTTGTTGATTTGAGGTCACAGCAGAGACACTGCTACTACTAGTACTCATGGGAAGAGGAACGTTTGGTTTGAACGGTGGCTTAACGTTAGAGAGAGTACATGCTGGAGATTCCATGTAGAGGAGATGCAATAAAGCACAAACCGAAAAGATCACTAACATCGCTAACTTCTTTGATCTCATCTTTGATCTTTTGAAGAAAACTGTTGTTAGGTTTTCTTAGCTTTACGTCAGACAGAACAAGAGTTTCTTCCTTGTGTTGGTGTATCTTAGGTGGTTTGGTTTATATAGAGAAAGCTGTATGTTGATTAGTTCCTAACTCAAGATGGAGTAAGATTTTATCTGAGATTGGCGGTTTTGAAAATCAATTCCATAGAACAAGTTGTTTTGGTTTAGGACCCAAGTAAGTTCATATCTCCTGAGCCAATCAGTTGGTGCCACGTTTAAAGGGTTTTTGGAAAATTTACCTTTTAGTAACTCCAATTTCTCAAATAGGAAAAAAAACCTAAATCCCTCTAACAATAATAGAGAAAAAGGAAACTTGTGGATAGATGTTTCCTTTTTCCTCTATATATTTGTATAATATATGTTTTAATATTGCTTTAAACACATATTTTTCTAGCTTTCATCTATCACACAACACATCAAGACAGAGAGATACCAATGTGGAGTTTTGAGCTTCTGATACGTGTGTCACAAGTCATCATGTATTTGACTAAGAAGGGAAAAAAGTGTTTACCATATAGGGTTTATGACACAATCTTACACAAAAATAGACAAGAAAGATTAGAGTTAGACTCCTAGAAACAGAGTTTTGATTCTCTTCATCTTTGAATTCCTCTGCAAACAACACAATGTTCTGAAATTACAATGTCTATAGCACTGCCTTTTTCGATTTTAATCTTTTTGGTGATCTTGTTCCACAGATGCAGCCCGTAGCTTCTTTTGTTCAGCTTGACCAGATCAGCTTTGAGTAATGTAAAGTCATTCCTGCTCCTTGGCGTCTGAAACAATCTTTGAATGTCTATCCAATTAAATGGATAGAATGCTACTGGTGGCAATACTGTGAAGCTATTCCCTATCGTCTCTTGCACTCTCTTCACTACCCTGCTTACCAAGTAAGGACCATTGTGTCCCCATTTGTTACCATCAAAAGTGGTAGCAAACTCTTCCATGAAACTGTAAACAAGTGGATGTTCTTTCTCAAAGACAAGAACCGCATTGTTCAACCTTGTCCAGTTCTTGGAATCTCCTTCCACCACTGTTTGTGCTCCTATTGAGTTCTTCAACCCTTTGAAGCTTCTAGTGACGATGAAGTCTGTGTCCAAGTACACACCTCCGTACTTGTATAGAATCGCTAGCCTTGCGAGGTTTGAAAGGTTCTGAGATAACGGTATCCTTCCTGGATCTCTTTTGCAGCTTTTCATTTCTTGAAACCAAGTTTTGGCTGGTGTGTTCTCAAGNTTTGTGCTCCTATTGAGTTCTTCAACCCTTTGAAGCTTCTAGTGACGATGAAGTCTGTGTCCAAGTACACACCTCCGTACTTGTATAGAATCGCTAGCCTTGCGAGGTTTGAAAGGTTCTGAGATAACGGTATCCTTCCTGGATCTCTTTTGCAGCTTTTCATTTCTTGAAACCAAGTTTTGGCTGGTGTGTTCTCAAGCAGTAATGAAATGTCTGGTGTGGCTGCAACCACCTTGTAACCAAGATCAAGTAGCGGTTTAAGGATGGTACTTCCTTGTGGAGAGTCCATGGATCCTGATACAATCATCAAGCATCCTTGAGGATGGGTTTTAAAGACGCTTTCTACAGCTAGAAGCTCTCTATTTCCGAAATAATCTGCTGGTGAAAACCATGTCATGAAGAATCTAACCTCACATTCATCATTTAAGGACTCAAGAACCCTTTGATGAAACTTCTCTGAGAGGTTAGTTGACTTGAAAACCTCGAACTCTGAGAGGTGAGAACGAAGCCAAGCCATCCTGTATCTGCTTGTAGGACTGTCAAATGGTCACCCCGCCCATGGGCTTGACCAGTCCAAACTGTGATGGGCGGTCCATGGTTGCAACCAAATTACAAATGGTCCAATTGGGCCTAAGCCCATTTCACCCATGGACAATTTGGTCTTGTCCAAATGGGTTTCGGGCCGATATAATTACACAGTTTTTTTTTTTTTTTTTTTTACGTCAAACCT